CAGTTTCTTCCCCTGTAAAGGGAGATAAGATACTAACAGGGTAGTTTAGAGATTAAATGAGTTAATATTTATAAAGTGTTTAGAACTGTATCTGGTACATAGTAAATGTTATATGGGTACCTTTCTCTATAAATGAGTAAGAAATAAGTAGAAAGGCATGCAATCAATAAATCATAAAAAGTGAAAATAAAAATAATGCTAACCTATGAAAGTTGTGTAGTGCAACTAATATGAGTTTCATTAATTTCCCAAGCCAAAGAATGTTAAAATAAGTGCTTCTACCTCCCTTAAAGAATTATGAAGCAATGGCTTTAGAAGAATAGATTTTCTTTTCTTCTATAAAGGAAGATGAGAACTTCATGTCTGCTTCAGTCGATTGTTTTCACACAAATTGCAGGGCCTGGGATTTAAAGCCAAAAAAAATTAGAGGCTTGTATAATTATTGATATATTTGGGACATAACAGCAAAAAGTCCTGGAAAAACACAGTTCAGAATGAGATACCTCCTTCTCAGTCATATGTGATCTCATTCAACTTTCAGGTGTTTGGCTATTATTATTTATTAATTTTTTAGATGTATAAAATGTATTTATTACAGAAATTTATATGGAGATAGTTATTTAAGACAGTAGACTTGAATTGGAAGTCTAGCTCCATCAGTAACTATGTGTCCTTAGGCACTTTACTTCTTAGAGCCTTATTTTCCTCGCCTGTAAAAAGGGAATGGTAGCAGTTCCTTCCTCCCAGGATTGTAGTAAATGTTAAATGAAGACATGTAATAAAGTACGTAGCGCAGATCCTACTACACAGCAGAAGCTTAATAAATGTCATCAACATTACCATCACCATCATCATCATTTTTAAAAATCAACCTTTATTGAGGTGTAATTTACATACAATAAAATGCCCCCATGAGTTTTGACACATGTGATCCCTGTGTAATTAATCATCCCAATAATCAAGATATAGAACATTTGCATCAACCCTGAATCATTATTTTAAAATAGGAAACTGACCTCTTATGTAGTAATAATACAAAGGGGAAGTAATGTGTAAAGCAAAGCATGGTGTCAACCATAAAAAAGAATGAGTAAGTGCTAAACAGAATTTTAACGCCATGGGAATGCCGTAGCAGGTGCGTTCATTCTGGGGGAGTTGGGGACAGGTCAGGTGTACTGCATGCTGTTGCTTCTGCCTGTTTCGCAGCAATTCCCCTTTTCCTGCTCACAGCGCTGTGCTGCTGCTTTGGCGGAAGGACTCCTCCCCAGCGCTTTGTGTGTTTGGAGTGGGGCTGTTTTATCCGTGACTCCAGTCTTGTCATTTCTGCCAGAATTCTTGGAAAGAAAACTGCCTTACCGTTAAGGTTTCTGGATTTAAGTTTGAAGAAGCTGCGTCACTGAGAATGAAGCCACCACAGACAATGGTCAGCTCCAGGGATGGAGAGAGAAGCCTTGTTCAGATATCCTACCTAGACCCCAGAGGCTTCCCTGAAGCGAGACCTACCCATGGACTTTGGACTTCTCGGGTATATGAGGACCCATGCACGCTCCATCATGGGCCAGACCTGTTCTCCAGCTTGTGTTCAGGAACCAGTGAGTGAATGGCCCATGCCCACTTCTGACTGTATGGGCTCAGAGACAACATATATGGGAGTGCTTTGCCAGAGGTAAAGTTTCTACAAATGGGAGGTAATTGTATGGCAGGTGTAAAGTTATTTGGACAATTGAAGTCAGAAAAAATATGGATTTAAAATACATTGATACTGAAACCACAACTATTTAGACTAATCGTTCAGCTAATTTTAAGGAATTCAGACATTCAATCAGAGAATTTAGGCCAAATGTTACCTAAATTATTTCTATTTATCATATGAAAGTGATTTCTAGGCTTTAACTGTTTTTTTTTTTTACATGCATGGCCGTAACCTATGTTGTCATGAGTTGCTATTTTTTTTCTTTATTCATTGCGTCCTTCTCATTGATGTTGAGCACTGTTGAAGTAACCATTGCTGTTCTAAGCCGGGCCTGTAGCACTGAATAACATAAAACCTCTACCCTCATGGAGCTTATTTTCTAAGAGGAGACAGACAACTGTGCCTTCCATGTGCCAGTTTCTGCACTAGCACTGCTGCATTTTGATTCTCTGTTTATGATAATACTGCCGAAAGTGTGGGAGGTCTTTTGTGGAAATTCTGGACTAAATTTATAAGAAATTTACACATTATCCACATATTTACATATTTATGAATGGGCCTATTAGGTCACATGTTTGCATATATGTGTATGCCACACAGACTTATTAAGCTGGGTAGCCTGGTTCAATTTACTACTCTGGGCCTCCATTTCTTATCTGAAAAATGGGGATTTATCACAGTACCAGTTTCACCTTGTGAAGATTAAATAATGTATGTACATAATTTACCGTAGTGCCTGACACAAACTAAGAGCTTAAGTGATAACTAATATATTATTATTATTAGTAGTACATGTATATTATTTTATACACATTTGCTTAATGTTCCTCAATGGGATAAAACAAATAATGGTGGATCTCATTTTGTTTCATTAATTTAACATTTATTGAATGTTTTACCATGTTCTAGGCCCACTGTGGCAGATTATATTTTTCAGAGATGGCCACAACAATATCACCCATTCTAGAGGTCCAGCCCTATTCTCCCCCTCCTCCACTTGAGTTTGGGTGGGCTTATGCTTGCTTGTGTCCAATGAGGGTGGCAGAAGTGTGTGACTTCCAAGGCTAGGAAATAAAAGGAGATGTAGCTTTCGCCTTGTGAGCTGGTACATTCCCGGCAGGGCTGCCATGCTGTGAGGAAGCTTAGACTAGGCCACACAGAGAGATGAATGACATGGAGAAGCCCTGAGCCTACCTGAAGAGAGGGAGATGCCCAGCTAACCACCTGATACTCCAGCTTCTGTCACCATCTAACTGCAATCACACAAGAGACCGCAAGCCAGAGCCACCCAGTCAAGCCCTCCCCAAATTTCTGACCCACAGAGATCATGAGAGAAAATAAAATGATTGTTGTCACTTTAAACATTAACTTTTGGTGTCACTTGTTATATACTGATGGATAACTAGAACACCTACCTTTAGGTGCTCAAGATAAAGCATTAAACAGATTTACTTTCATGGAGTTTCCATTCTAGATCTTTCTCGTCCTTGGCAGGTAAAGAACAACTATTTTGGCTGGGTGCAATGGCTCACACCTGCAGTCCTAGCGCTCTGGGAGGCTGAGGAGGGAGGACTGCTTGAGTTCAGGACTTTGAGACCAGCCTGAGCAAGAGCGAGACCCTGTCTCTACTAAAAATAGAAAAATTAGCCCAGTGTGGTGGTGTGCACCTATAGTCCAACCTATTTGGGAGGCTGAGGCAGGAGGATCTCTTGAGCCCAGGAGTTTGAGGTTGCTGTGAGCTAGGCTGACACACTGTACTCTCTCCAGGCAACAGAGTAAACTCTGTCTCAAAAAAACCCCAAAAAACCAAAAAAAACAACTATTTACAGGGTTGTAATTATCCACCTATTCGGACCTGCTATCAAGCCTAAATCTGTAGACACAACAAGCAAATAGATCACATTCATTCATTCATTTATGCATTTAATAAATTATTTCCTCAACGTAGATGAGCTAAAACCCTCTTCTCCATGTTCCCAAGCACCCAGGCCTTCTATCCAAACTTCTTATACAGCATTGCTATGGCTTGTGTTCTGCTGTTTCTCCCACTGACCAGCAGCTGTCAAATTCATTTTGTGTATTCATCTTTGTATCCCTGCCATCTAAGCTAGTGCCTGCACAGAGCAGACCTATTTAAAAAACAAACCCAAACAAACAAACAAACCCCCACTTAACTGAAGGAAGGCTGCTAGTTCCTGGACGTAGAAATCATTTGTTCCAGGACAGTCGCAATCCTCCAGGAGTTCACAATTCAGCACTAGACACTCTGTGGGACCCACCCTGACAAGTGCAGTGAGTGAGCTGCCAGAATTGAGTCTGTGGTCCAACAGAGGGGAACACAGGGCAACGCGCTGGGCGTGGCAGGTGGAGAGGGCCATGGTAAAGGATTCGTTAATTCCACAAATATTTATCGATCACCGTAGCCTACGCAGCACATGGTAAGCGCTCAATATCTGTGATTGAATGCCAGCCACTGTTCTAGATGTTGGGCTGTAACAGCGGACTAGAAAATTGCAGTGGCTTGTGCATTCGTGAGGCTCACCATGTGGCAAAGGATGACAGGCAGTGGACGGAATTATATAAAATTGTGCTAGATGCCGAGCAGGGAAATAACAGGCGGTTGAAATTCTCGTAGGGATGCATGCGAGATCCTTTGGCTAGGGGCAGCCGTGGGCGGGTTTTGAGCAGGAGTGGCCGTGAGGGGGACGGACTGTAGGGGGAGGGAAGACTGCAGACGAGAAGAGCTGGTAATTTTAAGATGCAAACCTTTTCTGCTTGACTGGCAGAGGAGCGTGTGGAAGCTCCGGGTTCTCCCGGGGCAGGGGGCTGTATTTTGAGTGCAAGCTCTGTTGCCCAGCAGTGCAGGGCGGGCTGCGGTGAACTGCAGCCCTAATTCCCAGAATTTTCATGCTCGGCACAACTAGGCTCCTGCGCCCTCCAGACCAGCAGACACGCCGTCCGCGGCTAGAATTCGCGCCGCAGCAGGCGGGCGAGGCGGCGGGGGCCCACGCACAGCAGCGCTCACCCCTAGGGCTCGGGGTCTGCAGCACCCGGCGGGCGGGAGCGGGCGGAGCTTGCGCTGCGGACCTAGGCGGTGGCGTGAGTCTCCGCCCCCCCGCGCCACAGGCCCCGCCTCCAGAGCCCTCTGATTGGCCCAAGGCCGCGGAAGGGCTGGGCTTCCTCGGGCGGCCCGAGGGTCGGGCTGGGGAGAGCGCGCTGATTGGTCCGGCGGGGATTAGGTCATCGCTAGCAGGTTCGGGCGGCCCGGACGCTGGCCGGCGCCGAGGCTGCTGTGAGAGGGCGCTCGAGGCTGCGGGAGAGCGAGCCAGCACAGGAGGCGGGGAGGCGGCGGCCGCGCTCGCTCGCCTGCTCGCTCTCTTCCCGGCGCCTCTGCTGCTCCGCCGCCGCGCTGCCCGCTCGCCTGCCGCTCCCCTGCGCGCAGCCCGGGCAGCCGCGCACCGGCCGGGTCCCGGCTGGCTTCGGGAGCCGTGCGCGCCCGCGGACGCCGCGCGGTGGGCGAGCCGGCGCCACACCTGTGGAGCCGGCGGCCGTCGGGGGTGCCGGCCGGGGTCCCGCCGCGCGCGAGCTGTGGGCGGCGGGCCGCCCGGGCTCCGGGGGAGGCGCGCCCCCCGGCTGGGCGCCGCGGGCACCATGGGGCTCCCCGCGCTGGAGTTCAGCGACTGCTGCCTCGACAGCCCGCACTTCCGAGAGACGCTCAAGTCGCACGAAGCGGAGCTGGACAAGACCAACAAATTCATCAAGGAACTCATCAAGGACGGGAAGTCGCTCATCACCGCGCTCAAGAGTGAGTGCCCCGGGCGGGGACGGCGGGGACGCGGCCCCGGGACGGGAGGGCCGTGGGGCGGCGCTCAGCCCTGGTCGCCCGCCTGCCCGCCGGCTTTCTGTCCCCGGGGCACTGATTCACGGATGTTGATGCTTCTACTGAGGCAGGAAGGATACGTGGAACGGGCGAGCCCGCAACCATCAGGACGTTGCCCAGCCCTTTGCTTTCGGGGGCGGCCGGGAGGCGACCGAGCGCGGGTGGTGCTCTGGGGCGGTGCGGGTGGGTGTGCACAGCACGCAGGTGTCCCGGGAGTGGGGCTGGAGCGCCCAGCGCGCCGCAGCCTGCTCGGAAGCCCCATCCCAGCCACGACTGCCACTCCTTTAGGGGAAGAATTGCTCACCCCTGGGTGCCCAGCCGTGAACTTGGAGCCTACCCTGCCAAGGGGGCGCTGCCTCCCCTTGGGAAAAGGCGGGTTGTGGGTTGTGACTGCTTCGCTCCCCGTTTGCAGATCCAGCCTAGTCCCGGCCACCGGCTTCTCTGGGTGGAGCGGTTGGTTAGCTCTCCCCGATTCCCCCGAGTGTTGGCAGCCAGTAACCCCCAAATCTAGAATCAGTGCCATGCACGTGTGCAGGTTCTGATTCTTGTGTTTAGCAGAAGGTGATAGGGGTGGGAGTACAGAACCAGAGTGTTCCTTTACTCTAAACTGTGGGCGAGAGTTTAAAAATAGAATGAACATATCCCTACTCTCTCCCTCTCCTGCTCCCTCGCTCTCCTTTTTACCTCTCCCATTATCCTTGAAAACGCAGAGGTCTGAGAATCAACGTCCTTACTCCTCCGAAAGGAGAAATTTAAACTCGTCTTAAAGATTCTCAGACCTTTTGTAAAACCATTTTTGCTTTTTTTTTTTTTTCCCTTTTGGTACAAGGCGAGGAATGAAATTTGCATTCTGTTTGACTTTTGCAGAGCCAGAGAGTTTCTCCTTCTAGCCAAATAAGAGTTCTCTAGGGATGAGAGCCTTGGATTGTGAGAACGTTTTTGGTACCTTTTCAGTCTATCCATTTAAAAATAACTCAGTCCATCTTGTAGTTTTGAGAATCAGGAACAACCTAAAGGCAGATGGTGGAATTGTCTTTGACTCTTTTTCCTGTTTCTGTGATGGATTTCCTAATCAATGATATTTTTCAGCTAAGAAAGATTGCCTGAGCAGAGTAGTATCCTAGCTGTGAGAATGGTTCCCAGGCCTCTTTAAAGGAGGCTTACAGAAGTTAAGTGCCTGAGATGTCATTTTGTGAGCCTGTTGCTTCTAAAAATGAAGAGAGAGACAATGGAATGCCAGAGCAGCCGAAAGTGCCAATCTTTTGCGGTGAAATGCACACAAGACTGTGATGTGATGTGATTTTTGTTCTCAGGGGCAGGTTCTCTGCAGGAGGCAGTTCCCTACCTGAAGCATATGGACAGATTCTCCCTCTGTCAGTGACCAAGGCCATATTTGGTTCAGGGAACATGTGACCCCTGGTTTGGAGTAAGCCAGGGGCCCACTTTTAAATTTGCCCCAGGAGCGTTGATTGAACCTCAGGCTGGCTTTAATTGGTTCCCTGCTTCACTCAGCAACGTTTGTTTGGAGTGCCCGCTGGGTACTGCACTGGGCACTGAGGATGTAGCAGTGAATAAATATTTTGCTGCCCGTGTGGCTACAGAGCTGTGCTCCATGCCAGGCACTGCTTCACTCATGAGTTGTCGCATGTAATTTTATTCATTTGGCAAATGAGAAAACAGAGACTTGGGGGAAGCACAATCCGACTGTCACACAGCTCTAGCAGCAAGGCTAGAGCTTTTGAATCCACCCGGTTTGAGCCAGAGATGGAGTTCCTGCCGACACAGAGCCCTATCTAGCTTGCCCCAGTGGAACCCCCAATGATCCCCTTGGATCAAATGTGCTAGAATTTGGATTTACGTTTGGTATCTGAGAAGGGTGCATTTGGGTGACTGGCAAATTTGCCTGTTATTTTTTGGGGGAGGAGCAAGAATTCTTTGGGTAGGAGGAACATTGCAGTGATGGGGTTCAAGGGTTAAGTTGTTTAATGGGGTGGAGCAGCCCTGTAACTTGGGGGAAAGACTGATAGGGAACTAGGTATTCTGGTCTGTATACATTCAGCTCTACTACTGACTGTGTTCGTGTAACTATTACTAGAACAGGACACCTGGCCTCTTAAAATAATAGAGTGGAGTCAATCACTGTTTCCCAGACTTCAGGCATTCTGTTATGAGCTGCTTGCTACACATATATGCAAAATATACTATTATATTAGTATTTATGTATTAATTTTCTTCAGATCATCCTTATTACTACTGTTAATATTATAGAAAGTATTTTTCCAGTACAATTTAAATACATAATTGTATAGGTAACACTGATTTAGATGATCTATATTCTCTTACAGCTCTAAAATTTTGTCTTTATTTTATAACCATATTTATATTTTATGACTAGTATTTGCAACTCTTTGGGTTTAGGTTTTCTTTGTGTGTTAATCATAGGCAATAAAACTGGCCTCCTGAAATTGGCGGAGTTCAGTAAGATCATGGTTGTAGTTTTTTCCATCTTATAAATGAGGAAATTGAGGATCAGGGAGGTCTGTAACCTGCTCAAGGTGACACAGCAATTAAGTATATTTAAACACACGTCAAATTCCAAAGCCAGTGCACTTCACCGTAAAACAGCACTGTAGTCTAGGTCAGCTGAGGTCAGTGGTTCTTATACATTTATTTCTTGAGTTCCCTTGAAAACCTCATAAAAGCTGTGGATTACATAAAAACGAACTTCTTTTTTTTTTTTTTTTTCTTTGTTGTCCAGGCTAGAGTGAGTGCCGTGGCGTCAGCCTGGCTCACAGCAACCTCAAACTCCTGGGCTCCAGCGATCCTTCTGCCTCAGCCTCCCAAGTAGCTGGGACTACAGGCATGCGCCACCATGCCCGGCTAATTTTTTATATACATATCAGTTGGCCAATTAATTTCTTTCTATTTATAGTAGAGACGGGGTCTCGCTCTTGCTCAGGCTGGTTTTGAACTCCTGACCTTGAGCAATCCGCCCGCCTCGGCCTCCCAGAGAGCTAGGATTACAGGCATGAGCCACCGCGCCCGGCCAAAAACGAACTTCTTGAAGTCTTTCCTGGGAGACTAGGACTCTGGTCTGGACACCTAGAGGATACGCACGAAAATAATTTGAGATATACATTTGAAAAAAATTCTGCTTTTGGAGAAAGTTCTCATTTGATGTGGAGTACAGCCTTGGCGACTCCCACTCAGTTATTTCCGGTGCTTATTTGTCCTGGCCTTTTCTGTGGCCATTCTCATTCACTCCAGACTCTTTTCTCTGATCTGATTAATCAGTGTCTCAATCAGAAAGATTCTGTGTGCTTAAGCCTTTTTTTTTCCTCTCTTTTCTTTTTATAGATAGAGGTTGGAGATAAAGTTCAGACTTGTAGAATTAAGAGCATTTGGATTTCCTGGGTTTGAATCCTGACCCCCACCCCCACCCCCACCTCCCAACCCCCTAACCCCCAACTATTCCCCACCCCATCGACTACTACTTGTTTGACTCTGGGCATGTCACTAAGCCTGAGCTCCTCCTTTGTAAAATGGGAATAGCCACACTGACCTCCTAGAGTTATTGTGAGGAATGACTGAAATAGAGCATGTGAAAAATGCACTTGCTTGGGGCCTGGTACATCATATTGCTCAGTGCATGGTAGCTGGCGTCACTGTCTTCAAACATTCTGGGTTGTCGAGACTTGGTGATTCTCAGAGCAGAAGTCACTGAGAGTGCAGAGGGACATTTTTTGGCTTGGGTGCAGGGAGTTAGGCCAAAGCCTTCCCCATGCCAGTTGTTGGTAACTTACACAAGTTGTGTATGTATTAGCCATTTGGTGGGCAGAATCTTGGTAATAGCGTTTGCATCAATGTTGCAGTTATGCCAAAAAAAGCTTTACGAGTTAAAAAGAAATAAAATAAATAAGACTCCTGACATCTGTTCTTAAGAACATTCTGGTAGCTTACATTTTCAACCTTTTTGATTAGATTAATTGCCCCCCCTGCAGTGGCTGAGCTGGCTGTCTGTCCTTCTCTGTCTTTCAGAAAAAGCTTGCGGAATACATTGGACTTCATGTCTGGCAGTCTCATGGACTCAATGGCAAACCAAATGTGGTTTCATAGAAATGAAAATGAGTTATGGCCTTGGTTTTGAGGAGTGGTGTGGGTTTTTAGGAACTATGTTTCCTTCCATCTTGACAGCTGATTTTTGGACTTGTTCCTGGGGTTTTTACCCCTTTAAACTTGACTTCTGCTTTCTTGTGTAGATTGCCCTTATTTTGGTAGTCTAAGATGGGAGCAACAGAAATGCAATTTTTAAAACATCAACTTTATTGAGATATAATTTGCATTATGATACAGCTCACTTGTTTAAAACTTCGAGTTCAGTGGCTTTTAGTACTTTCACAGAGTTGTGCAACCATCATCACATTCAATCCTGGAACATTTTGAGCACCCCCAAAAGCAACTCTGTTCTCATTAGCCATCATTCCCCATTTCCTTCCAACCCCCAGCTCTAGTCAGCCATAAATGTATTTTCTGTCTTTGTAGATTTGCCTATTCTGGACATCAGAATTGCAGTTTTAATTGTTTTCTCCTAGGTAGTGTTGACCAACTTTAGGCGGAGTTCTTGATTTGAATTTCAGGTGGGGAAACTTTGAAGCTTTTCTTCTTTCAAATCAGCGAGGGAGGTGAGGTCCCAAACACCAGTGTCTTAGGTCCTGGAGAAACCCAAGTGAGCCTTTGTATTTCCAACCCACGAGAGGGGATTGGATTCATTCTAGTTCATGGTACTTTGGTGGATGCAGAGGAGATAACCAACCAAAACAAGAGTAAGAATCTAGCACCTTCTCTCTGACCTTTCTGTCAAGTTGGGGCAGGGTGTGTAATAATGAAGCCACACTTTGTGGTCAGTATCCTGTTGGGTGACAATT